GCGCGTAGCCTCATTCGCTCCGCGGCCGCGTCACGGTAACATGCCCTGTTTATTATTTATCGTGCCTAAGGGCTTAACATATATGAAATTAAATTGAACTATACAAGGGAATATACTTTACACGTAATACTTATTCTACAATTTGGTATTGATTTATTTCTATATCCTAAATCTATGTTAACTCTCGCCAGTTGGTCGGTGCCTTTATTGCGAGAGTTATTACATAGTCACAATATCATTTGTTTAACAATAAATGCTATATTTCTTAATATTATTGCTACGGCTTTTCCCGCGTTGCTGTGGGCAACCACCGCTAGTTGTGGAACCGTGAGCGCACCCCGACGATCATAACATTCTCCTGGCTCCGCCCACCGTCCCCAGGTTGTTCAACTAGCGATGGTTACCACAAGCAATCCGTAAGTCATTTCGTTCGAGGTATTGCTATGTTTGCGTCGTGCACATTCTCCCGCCGTCGCCACGCTGCGATCCCTCTGGTAGCACGACGATCTTCTTTGTCGGTCTTCGTAGTACATGCCCGTGCTTGTGGTTACGTCCACTACTCGTACCTTTCCGTCGACGCCAGGATACACGTTGCTGATTTTCCCCCTGGGCCAGATGTTGCGTGGTAGATTGGAGTCACAAATGATGACTAGGTCCCCAATCTTCGGTGATACGCCTATGATGCTGGGCTCCCGCCGGTGTTGGAGTAGGGGCAGGTATTCCTACAAGTGATGAGACAGTAGGAGTTACCTTTTTCTCCTTGGCTGGGGTGTTGCGTTTGTTTGTTCTTTGCCAGCCAGGGTCGCTATCTTGTCTTGCTCGGTTGCGTTTACGCCCAGCCTTCACCAAGTGCTTGTTTGGTCTGCACATGTCGATGAATAGGACTCTCGCTGTCGCCCTTATGAGGCGAATCCATTTCGAAAATCTGTCTATTTGTGGCAGATGTGTTGTTGGCGAGTCTACACTTTTAACTGCGATGTTACATACTTCTCGTTCTTCCCCGGTGTCGTATTGTGTCGTTTTCTCTTCCTGCGGCCATTCTGCTGGTGGACGTTGCAGAAACGGGGGCCCTCGGAACCACCGGTGCGACTCGTTGAATCTTTCTGGCGTGGATCGGGTCGCGTCGTCTGCCACGTTTTCTTTAGACGGTAGCCAACGCCATTCGTTCTTCTTGGTCGTATCTTCTATCTCCGCCAGGCGATGAGCGACGAAAGCTTTGTATGCGCGAGGCTCCGACCTTATCCATACCAGTGCTGTACGAGAGTCGCACCAGTATGTTTTGCCCGCTATATCACCATCGTGCTCATCGACCACGGTCTGCGCGAGACGAGCTCCCAGCAGTGCTGCTTGTAATTCGAGCCGTGGTATGGAGACTGGCTTCAGTGGTTACGCGGCTCTTGGCGGCAGCCAATGATACGTTAACGCTGCCGTCTGCTCGCTCCGTTCTCCAATACACGGCTGCTGCATAGGCCTCCTCGCTTGCGTCGACGAATGTGTGTAGTTGGCGCGTCGACACCGGGTTGTAATCGTAGCATCGCGGTATTCTCAGTTGTTCTATGGCGTTAAGTGAAGTAATCCAGTCTTCCCATTTTTCTTTTAATTCCGTGGGTAGAGGGTCGTCCCAGTCCGCCTTGTAACGCCATGTGTCTTGGAATATTCTCTTCGCTGGGGTGGTCACTGGTGATATTAATCCCAGCGGATCAAATAAAGCCATTATGACGCTCAACGCTTCACGTTTAGTTGGCAAGCGTTGTTTTTCTTTTACGTCGGCAGGCATCTTCATATTGTGAGTATTAAATCCAATATGATCGCTTTGTACATGCCAGAGCAGGCCGAGCGTCTTCTCAGTTTCTTTTCCGCCCAGGCTCACGGTCGCGTCGTGTTGTTTATGTTCTGTCGTTATTTCTTCTATTGTTTTCTCTTCGTTCGATGTCCACCCGCTGAGTACGAATCCCGCTTGTTTGTGGACGTGATCGACTGCTTTTACCGTTTGCTGAGCTTCCGTGACAGAGTGGAAGCTCTGCAAGTAGTCGTCCATATAGTGATTTCTTTTTATGGCGACCGCAGCTTCTGGGTATGCTTCTGCATGTTCTTCAGCATTTTTATTTTTGATGTATAATGCTGTGCACGGTGATGATGTCGCTCCAAAGATGATTGATGTCATCCTATATTCTTCCGGTTGGTCCTCCCGTCGCTTGCCTCTCCATAAGAAACGTAAAACATCTCTATCTTCTTTGCGCACTTTGATCTGCATGAACATTTCTTTTATGTCGGCGCTCACTGCATACGGATACTGTCGGAACCTCATGATCACTCCGGGCAATGATTGTAATAAGTCGGGCCCCGAGTGAAGCATATCGTTGAGACATATTCCGGCTGTCTTCGCTGCGGCGTCGTGCACCAATCTCGGCGGCTTGTCTGGTTTCGCAGGGTTGATGACTGGGAAGTGTGGCAGATACCATGTCCTTCCTTGCGGCGGTGGCATGGGCGCGCGCTCTGCGTAACCCGAGTTGAAGAGGTTCTGTATGCGTTCTTCGTACTGTAGCTTGAGATTGCTGTCTCGGTCGAGCCTCTTCTCTAAGGTGTGCAGGCGCCTTTCCACGTCCTTGTAATTATTTGGTATTTGGAAATCCTTTTGTTTCCACAACAACCCTGTCTCGAATCTGCCGTCCGCCGACCTCTGGCTGGTTTCCCTCAATATTTGCATAGCTCGCTGCTCGGGATCTTCTTTCGGTCTTCTTGGCTCGATGCACAGCGATTCTAATTTGAAATAATTTTTTATTTCCTCTTCTATCGGCTGTGTATCTTCCCTCTGATGTAGTCTGCCGCAGAAGGTGACCGTCGACGTCAATGAGCTATGACAGCCATGCAGAACCCAGCCCAGGTTGGTGTGTGATGCGACTGGTTGGTCTCGACGACCGACGCGCAGTTTTCTAGACACTATGAGGTGCCAGTTATCTTGTCCGATTAGTATTTTCGGTGAGGCGCGTTCGTAGGTGATATCTTCTTTGATATCCCACAGATGTTGGCAATTCTCTAAGTGATTTTCATTCACGGATTCTGGCGCGAAGTCCAACCGTTCTACCGTACGCGCTGCTTCTATGTTGTGTTCTTCTTGCGCGTACTTTCCTCTTATTTTAAGGCTGACGATCTTGCTCTTCTCATGTTTCACCTCCGAGCCGACCCCTTGTATCCACATTGCGTGGGCTGGGCCGTCGGCGCCGATGACGTCGGCGATCGAGGCATCGACTAAGGTGACCGTGCTTCCTTCATCCAATAATGCGTATGTTTCGACGCAGCTTAGCGGCCCCCTTATTGTAACGGGCGCAATCTTTAGATAAGCGCGGCGGTGCTTGTACGGTTGAGTCGCTGTGATGACCTCCCTTGCCGATGTTGCGGTTTCCATAGCGGGTTCCTTTTCAATTTCTGCTGTTCTATCGTGATGCAGCAATTTATGGTGTTTCATCATGCATCCGCCTTTTCCGCACGGTGGAGCTTTACACAGCAACCGGCGATGTTTTCCTCGCAGACAGCGGTAGCAGATATTATTCTTCTTTGCTACTTCCCATCTGTCATTAGTGGACAGAGCGGCGTATGACTTGCAATCGGGCAGTTTGTGTTCTTGTTTGCATTGAGGGCAGCATTCTTCATATTGTTTCTTGCTTGTGGCGAAGGCACGTTCTGTTTTTCTTGGTCTTCGCTCTCTCGTCTCGCTGTCCTCTGCTATGAACTCCGGCAAGGCATACGCGCTGCATTTGTCCGCTTCATCGTTTAAGAACATTGATATCTTCTTAAGCTCTGGGATATCTTCTTTCTTTCTGGCTGCATAGTCGTACCATTTGCTTCTCAATATGGGCGTGAGTTTCTCTGTGATAACTCGCGCCATTTCCGGACTATGCAGATAGTGTGCTTTCTTGAGTGCTTCCACGGTGCCCACTCACTACGTTTGCTATGCGATTTGCGAATATGCATAGCTCCCTGGGATTGTCCGTAACTTTATTCAGCAGCTTCAACTTCTCTATTTCCAAGTGGATTAACGCTTCTGGTCGTCCGAATCTCCTTTCCAAAGCTTCCATTATCAGGCTGGGATCTGGTTGGCTTATAAGTAGGCAACCGGCGGCTTCTTTTGCTGTCCCTTTTAAGCTTCGGCGTATTCTCGCTATGTTTTCGTTCATCGTGAAGTACTTTGAAGATTCTTCGTACGTTGTTTTGAAGCTGAGCCAATCTTTGCTGCTACCATTGAATGTAGGTAGCTCTTGCACATATTTCGGGTTGCGATGCGAAGTGTCAGCAGTCTACATCGCAACCCGCGCCGCACTTCGCATCGCAACCATCGCCATTGCTGGCCAGCGGACCCTTGCCTCACCCCCGCGCCTTTCTTTATTTGGCAAATTTCTTATAAACTAATGTACAAACTTAAATATATTACATTTTTACAATTGCTTATTTAACTAATACTTATATAATAATTTTTCTACATAATAAGGGTTAAAACGTAATTATTCCAGAAATTTTGAGCTGAGGACCCTGCTCCCCGCCTCAGCACTATAAATATAAAACGTCGTGGCGCGGCGCGCGTAGCCTCATTCGCTCCGCGGCCGCGTCACGGTAACATGCCCTGTTTATTATTTATCGTGCCTAAGGGCTTAACATATATGAAATTAAATTGAACTATACAAGGGAATATACTTTACACGTAATACTTATTCTACAATTTGGTATTGATTTATTTCTATATCCTAAATCTATGTTAACTCTCGCCAGTTGGTCGGTGCCTTTATTGCGAGAGTTATTACATAGTTAATAAGTAGTATACATAGTTAATAATTATGGTAACCACAGCCGAAGGACCCAAAAAAAACCAAATTTATTTAAGTAAATTTAATGAAAACTAATTTTACAATTAAACTTAAGTCTATGCCTGATCGATGCTAGATACAGAATACTTAAATTAATTTTATAAAATAAAAATGTTGCATCGCGGTAAACGCGCATTGACGTCAATCGGGGTGCTGTGTCAGCGGCGGTGATCCGTTGCGTCCGGTGGCGGCACGCGTGAGCGGTGTCAGCAGGTGCTGTATCGAGGTCATCGCTTATTGCAAATTACTAGTGGGAGCTTGATATAACACCTCCCCCTTCAGATCATCACTTATTTTTGAAGGCTTCTCTGAGAAAATAGTGATGGATGCTGCTTGGTCTTTTCAGATGTCTCGGGTACTGCATAGATCTTGTCTTTGGGGGGTGATCTTTCAGATCTGCGTCGGAATATTTCGCCTCGTCTTATAAGTAGCAGCATGGTGAGTGCGAGTGCGCTTAATAGAATGATATAAAGCGGAATCGTTGTATGATATACTGTGTAGTCCGGCGACGCTTGCTTTATTTCCAGAGTTGGCTGCGTTATCACCCTGTGCTTAGTGTCATGCAGCCTTCGCAAGTCAATGGAATTAAGATGAATCTGAGAATTTCCTTTGAGCGGTTCCTCAATGTCGGTTGTCAGCTTCATTATTTTCAGCGGTTGTCCTTCAACTACGTCGTTAATATTGGTGATTGTAAAGTCGGGTGTGTCCAAGGAGCAGCTCATAGGGACGGTTGCTAAGTAGGTGCCGCTGAGAATGTTGTAATTTTCTTTGCCACATAGGTAGTGTATCCTCGTGGCATTGGGGAAAGACAGGATATAATGTTTCTCGTCTAATTCTTCCATAGCTGGTCTTGATAGGGTTATTGTAACAACGTCGCAGGTCTTGTCGATGGCTTGAATTATTAAAAGATTCTGGATACAGTCTGGGACTTGTCGTAGCTGATGGTCCATTGTCTCTCCACAGAGGTACCAGTCCTTAAACTTCGGGCATTCAGCCTCTATATACACATAACCTTTTCTGTTGGTTGCTATTAAAGGAGAAGGAGGGACGAGGGCCTGCTTAAACTTATTGGGGGCCATGGATAATTTATAGAGATTGTAACTATCCTTAGTAAATAGCGGTATATTAAAAATTATGACTATCCTATTATCAGAGTAATAGTATCCTGGTTTAATTATGTCATAGTATTCCCTAAGTTCTAATTGCAACACATGCTCCTTACCATAGATAGTAATTAAGCGTTGAATCATATGGTTTAAAATATCTATACTAATCATGGAATGATGTAAAGTTGAAGCGTGAATAAAAGCTATGATATTTTCAATTCTAGTTAGCTCACTGAATGTTTCGTCAATATTTTCAGTTAAAATAGCAAGGTACTGAGCAAATTTAGCATATTTTAGTAGGCTAGAATCTTTATAACTATTTCTATCTAAAATTAATTGTAACGTTTCATTTATTTTTACTTGATTCTCGACTAACTCTTCTAACACATTAGAATGCTGGACCATCCACTCTTTACTAAGACTTACGTGATTGTTAAATTCATGAAAAATAACGTTACTATTTTGCTGAAGGATTTTAATTGCATTGTCATACTTCACGGCATCTGAATTATCTAAATTACCAGTAACGCTCTTAATTATTGAACCGAGTCCGTCTACGAGGCCTCTCTTTATACGATGGGGTTTTAAGGTTTCTAATTGGTTTAAGACCTTACTAAGTTTGATGAATAGGAATTCTATTTGAGCCTCATAAAGCATATAAGTATCGTTTCCTAGAGTTTGTCTAAAATATATTAGTTGATTCTGTAGCTGCGAGATTTTATCATTAATATCATCTAATTCTACGAATTGTATAAAAGTATGATAGTGCGTAATGAGCTTTGTTGCGCCAAGCCGAAAAGGTAGAAGTCCGGGGCCGTCGTCAAGGCTCTCAAGTGTTATCTCTTGACTCATCCTGTGGGATGCTATCGAAGGAGCAGTCAGGACCAGTAGCACCCTGTAACAATTTGGCACTTTTGGGTATTCTTTTAAGACGATTTTTGGCAACAGGCCCGCGTTTTCGTGAGGTGTATATATGTATAGGTAAGTCTGCCAATACTGTGTCACGACTATACCTAGGGGCCAACTTTTGACGACTCGCAAGAGGGTTCTTCACAAAAATACGCTGATGTGGCTGATATTCGATTTCAGGATCGCGATCTTTATTACGGTTATTTATGATGCTGGTACGGTCAGCCAGGCTAATTTCCCCTAGCGTTTCATAAACTAACTTCATCTGATCCTTATGATTCTGTACGTATTGCTGCGTTAAGTGTTTCGTCATATCTACGTCAAAGGGGTCTCGCGGGTCGAAATGCCCAGTTATAATATCAAAAGGTCTGCATTTGGTAAAGCTGTGTACGGAGCTATTGTAAGCTAAAATTGCATATGGCATAAGGTTTATAGCATTCTCACTTTTATTGCGTAATTTTAGGATTCTGAGATGTTCCAGAATCGTCGCGTGGAACCTTTCTACTAAGCCGTTATCGTTGGGGGAGTGAGGTAGTATTCTGTGATGGTTAATCCGGTGTAAATTAGTAAAGTCATTAAATATCTGATTGGTAAATTCTGTGCCATTGTCTGATACTATTGTTAGAGGTAGCCCATGATGAGTGCAAAAATTTAACAGTGCTTGAACGATACTGATTGCCGTGGCATCGCGAACATGGTATGCCTGCGCGTATTTGGAAAACGCATCTACAATAGTTAAATATTTCTCATTTTGTATAGAAAGCAAATCTATGTGCACAATTTCGAACGGTTTAGTAGCAGGAGGAACGATGTTAAATTGCGGTTTGATGGGATTACGATCGTACTTAGCTTGGCCACAGATAGTACAATCATTGATAATTTTGGTAATTTGATCTCGCATCTTTGGCCAGTAATAACGGCAAGACAAGGCAAGATGACACTCATTTATACCACGGTGGTTAGTTTTACCGTCGTGATAATTTTTGATAATCTCCTGCTGCCTTAAATAGTCATTTACATTTTCCACCTCAGTTTTTGTTAGCACTAAATTCATGGCCGAATTTTTAAACTTATCCTGTATGACTGGAATAATGTCGTACATTGCTAAAGGCGGATTGATAAGTAAGGCCGTCTTAACTTTAGGGATTACGTATTCCTTTACAAGATTTACAACGTCATTCTCAAGGTCTGATTTAGATACTTGCACAGCTATTCTGTTATGGGTGTCAAACGGCTTGGAAGCTACGGGGCGTTTCTTTATGTCACCAACCACGGAGATAACAATCTGCCTATGGAATTTGTTAAGCGGCTGGTCTACAATAGGAACTTCGAGAATGGGGTTTTCCTTACTGGTATGTGCGGATGCTGTGGACGAATTTTCCACAGAGGGCGGTCGTTCCGACGCGAGAGCAATCATCGAATCCGTTTCCTCGTTATGTATCTCGACGCGCGAAAGGGCATCAGCGTTAGTGTTCGATTTACCACTTTTATACTTAACAGTGAAATCATACTCGGATAACTTGAGTTTCCATCTAGTTAGACGCGCATTAGGTTCTTTTAGCTGCATGACCCACTGAAGCGGCTTATGGTCGGTAATGATTTTAAATTTGCGGCCAAAAAGGTAGGGCCGGAAATATTTGGTTGCCCAAACGATCGCGAGGAGCTCCTTCTCTATTGTGCTATAATTTAACTCACTGTCGTTTAGCGTGCGAGAAGCGTAACAAATCTGTTTGTCTGCACCTTCGGGGCCTTGTGATAATATAGCGCCTAAAGCTACGTTGGAAGCATCGGTAGTTAAGATGAACTCCTTATTAAAGTTTGGGTATTGCAAAATCGGATCATTAGTTAAAAGGTTTTTACATTTTTCAAAGCAATCTGTATATTCTGAATTAATAACAACTTTGTTTCCTTTCTTTAGGCATTGTGTAAATGGCTTAGTGATGCGCGCGAAGTTCGGGATAAATTTTCTATAATACCCTACTAGGCCTAGGAATTGCTTAATTTCTTTGGGGGTTCTGGGCATTGGATAGTTCTTAATAGCCTTAATCTTGTCAGGGTTCGGCTTGATGCCGTCTTTGGTAATAACATGCCCTAAATAGGCGGTCTCTCGTTTGAGAAATTCGGACTTGTCCATTTGGACTTTGAAGTTTGATTCTCTAAGCCTTGAAAATACCTTTTCGAGGTTGATCATGTGCTCTTGAAGTGAGGTACTAAAAACTACTATGTCGTCGAGGTAGACCAGACAGATGACGTTTTGGAGACCCTTCAAGACATTGTCCATCACCCGCTGGAAGGTAGATGGTGAATTTTTCAGGCCCATGGGCATGCGTAAAAATTCGTAATGCCCATTTTCTACGTTAAATGCTGTTTTGGGTATGTCTTCTGGGTCCATCTCGACCTGATAGAAGCCGCTAGCCAGGTCGAGGGTTGAGAAATATTGGCAATTACCTAGCTTATCCAAAACGTCATTAATGTTGGGAATCGGATATTTGTCGTCAATAGTTTTTTCATTTAATTTCCGAAAGTCTACGACTAAACGCCATTTGGTCTTTCCTGAAGCATCAGGTTTTTTTGGTACTATCCAAATAGGGGAGCTCCAGGCAGATTCCGATGGTCTAATTATACCCTGACTTAGCATTTTCCCTATCTGATCCCTGACCTCGTCGCGGTGTATGTAAGGGTAACGATAACTTTTTGTGAAGACCGGCATCTCATCAGATGTCCTAATCTTGTGTTTAATCTTATTTGTAAAAGTCAAGGCCTCTCCGTCAATATAAAATATATCTGCATATTTTTGACACAGATTCTCTAAGTTAATGCGCTCTTCCATATTAAGATGGTCTGTGCGCAAGCGTGAAAGTACTTCGCGTTCGCGTGACGTCATTTGTTCAATGCCCGTGCATTGGACGTTATAAGCCTCTGTGTGAACGGCGCGATCCATAGAAAATATTAAGTCGTGCAAGGTTGGATTCGTAATTTCAAGAAAACCACGATTATTTTTGACGGTGGTTAGGCATTCATTTACTACGCAATTAGAGATAATCTGTTCATCAATATAAGCGTCCCCGTCTTGCAAATTAATAGGGACCCTAACTAACTTCGTTGTTTTTGCCGGGATCACGTCTTCATAAAAGTTTATGTTCCGTGAATTATACATGTGAATTGGAGTAACAGAATTACGAGTGAATAATTTTTTATCTTTAAGATCAATTTTGGCCTCCCAGTTTTCTAATAAATCTAAACCGATAAGGCCGTCGAAAAAGTCATGAAATTTATAAACGAACAGTTTAATACTTTCTGTTTCCCGAAATTCGCTGAAACATGGCAAAGTTATAGAATAATCGTTGCGCGTGGTAGCGTGTACATTTGTCACCTCGAAGGGGTCAAAGTTTAACGGGATTTCGTGAAAAAATTTACCTACAGCTTCCGGGCAAATAAAAGATTGGTTAGCACCCGTATCGATTAACAATTTTAGAGGTGGGTTTGAAATTTGTATATACGGGAGCTGTCTCTGTGACTGCAAATTCAGTTCTATTTTGGCTTTTCGGATTTCCCTTGCTTGGGAAAATCCTGTTCCTGTGCTGAGCTCGTACTAGGCATTTCGGAATCAACGTAGGATCCTGATGGGATCTCTTGAGGTAAATCGTAATTTGGTAGCTCGCTAATCGCGTAATTTGTCGGTTCTGGGTCGTAATACTCCGGGTAGACCCCATAGTAATAATCATTGGGTTCATTATATGCGTACTCGGGAAAATAATAGCAATGACCATCACCATAGTTCACAAATTCGTTCATGTTCATCTCCCTAGTCTTAAAGTAGTTAGATGGCGGCGGATTTCCGAATTTTCGCCAATCGTGACCTGACAGTTGACCACCCGTGGGCCTTTCCTTTGTGACGTAGTGGCTTACACCACTCATAGGCTTGTGGCCTGAATTATATGAATCGCTTCTTGGTGGAAGTTGGAATCTATTAAGTTGTGGATTATAGTTAGGTGGTTGCGCGCGGAATATCTGTTGCGTGCGTGTCGGCATGCCTACAGGCCTATATGGTACGGGAGCATTGTTAAAATTATTCGGCCGCCATTGTTGTTGAGAGAATTTAAAATTGGGCATAGGCATTGGTTGTACGGGGAATTTATACGCGGCTATTGGCGAAGGCATGGGTACTTGTGGTGCCTGCGGTTTTTTATCTGCGGCAGATCCACTGCGATTCTGAAGATACATTACGTTTAATTCTTCTTGTACAAATTCAAGTGCCTTTTCTACACTATCAGGACGCATGCATCGTATGCGAGAGCCTAACGGCTCTTTTAATCCGCGAACACATGCCTGCATCGTGAGCTTTCTGTAAAGGTCGCGCTTAGCTTTAATAGTCGTATCGACAGTATCGTGTAAGGTGACATAGGTCATAATGGTGCTGAACAAGTTTACACATCGGTCGTAGAATTCTTGGGGCGAACTATTCCCCTGTGTGGCTATCATAAGATCATTATAAAGGGCGGTCTCATCTCTCTGATCGGAGAAATTATTAATTGGAGCCGTTTTAATGCTATTCCAATCTTCAGCTATACCGTTAGAATTAATTATTCGTGCGGCAGGTCCAGTAATCTTATTTAAGATACCATTCACGAGGTAAAGTTTAGCTAATGCATTACCTTCGTTTTGATTTATATATTCCGCTGCGATCTGATCACATAAATTTATAAAGCGGGGCAAAATATGCGAGTTGCCGTCGAATTCGGGTACTAGGCGTAAGGCCTTAATAATTACGTCTACGTCAGCCATTATTGCGGATTCCGGATCGCTTAGTCCCTTAGAATTATGCGATAAAGTATTTGAACCTACACTTATATTCCTATTTGTATCTAATTTAAGTCTACGGGCCACTCGATTATTCGCAGGCCCTCTAGGGATGGATTGCCTAGGATGAAAAATCTTGGCGGTAAAAGAAAAGGTAAATTATATGTAAAAGGAAGCAACACAGAATCGGTTTCAGTGTACTTACATAAATTGCATTCTGGTTCCTCTGGGATCGATTTCTTGATTTCTCCTCCAGCCAGGCTCCAGGTTCTTTTCAAGGATACACGAAGACGCGCGATCGCTCGCGACGGTAGAGATTGATTTACGACGCGGGATTTCGATGTGAGAAAACCCTATCAAAACTACCTCAAGACGCCTTGAGTATCCTACCGACTGCGCCAATTATGGTAACCACAGCCGAAGGACCCAAAAAAAACCAAATTTATTTAAGTAAATTTAATGAAAACTAATTTTACAATTAAACTTAAGTCTATGCCTGATCGATGCTAGATACAGAATACTTAAATTAATTTTATAAAATAAAAATGTTGCATCGCGGTAAACGCGCATTGACGTCAATCGGGGTGCTGTGTCAGCGGCGGTGATCCGTTGCGTCCGGTGGCGGCACGCGTGAGCGGTGTCAGCAGGTGCTGTATCGAGGTCATCGCTTATTGCAAATTACTAGTGGGAGCTTGATATAACACACAATATCATTTGTTTAACAATAAATGCTATATTTCTTAATATTATTGCTACGGCTTTTCCCGCGTTGCTGTGGGCAACCACCGCTAGTTGTGGAACCGTGAGCGCACCCCGACGATCATAACATTCTCCTGGCTCCGCCCACCGTCCCCAGGTTGTTCAACTAGCGATGGTTACCACAAGCAATCGTAAGTCATTTCGTTCGAGGTATTGCTATGTTTGCGTCGTGCACACTTATCCTCAATAAAGAAATGAAATGCAGATGCGTTGTCACCCATGAGGACTTAGAAGGAATGACTCGTTACCAGTTAAAAGGGTCTCCAGTTCTCTACACTCAACAAACGAAGCTGCTATTTTATGCTGGTATTCTTTAAGAGCGTGGTCCTACCCCGGTCGAGCCGATCCATTCGTGATAGAACCATAATATAGCTGCAATGTGGCTCTACCACGTACAGACAGACACCACCACACAGCATCATAACGTGACATAGTTATGATGCTGTGTGGTGATGGTGTAAGACAATCCACTACCCCATATCGTGCCGTGGGTGTCGCAAGAGGCGACAGAGGGAATCAAGCTATAAGATGGGCAGCCGCGTCTCCCTGATTACAAGTGAAAATAATAAAAAACCGCGGTTGCCAACCCACCTGCATGGCAACTAAGGCAAATATGACGCAAGCCAGGGGGGAAGCCTATGTTCAACAGAGTAGTTTTAAAGGCTGTATCGGTAACGATAAACGTCGAGACGAAAAAAGAAAAACGTAAACTATCATTTAAATTAAAAAAAAAAACATGAAGGTCTAGTCTGTTTCCACTAACCTCCACTGACACATACGGTATTTATTTTAAGGTTCCAATATTTTTTGCTTTCTACCGACTTCAAAAAGTAGGAGGTACTCAATTCGACTGTATTACCTCTTAACTTTTTCTGCATGAACCGAATTCGATAAATCCTTTTTTATTTAAAAGCTGGTGCTTCACACGTGATCCCATATAAATTTGATCAAGGTCTGACCAATAGTTTTTGAATTATTCTTAATAATCTATATTGAATTCGGTTGCACAAAATTTTAAATTAGGTATTGAATTAACATCTTCAGAACAAATGCAGCTTCAATTTGCACATAAGGCACGGAAAGGTTTTTCTATTCATTATACAATTACATCACAAATTTACAAAAAATAGATTTTTATCTGGTACACACATATTTATATAAAACACGTTTACACAATATTGTACATATTTCACCAGATAGCTCACGAAAAAGATTTTGCGCCAGTGTGTGTTTTTAAATGTCTTTGCAAATCATATTTTCTAATAAATCTATGTTTACAGATATTACACGAAAAAGGTTTTTCACCGGTATGTATTTTTATATGTTTTTGCAAACTACTTTTGGTAATACATCTATATTCACAGATATTACACGAAAAAGGTTTTTCACCGGTGTGTATTTTCATATGGCTTTGTAAATCACCTTTTCTAATAAATCTATGTTCACAGATATTACACGAAAAAGGTTTTTCACCGGTGTGTGTTTTCATATGGGTTTGTAAATCACCTTTTCTAATAGATCTATATTCACATACATTACACGAAAAAGGTTTTTCACCGGTGTGTATTTTCATATGTGTTTGTAAACCACATTTTCTAATACATCTATATTCACAGATATTACACGAAAAAGGTCTTTCACCGGTGTGTGTTTTCATATGTATTTGCAAACGACTCTTTGTAATACAGCTATATTCACAGATATTACACGAAAAAGGTCTTTCACCAGTGTGTATTTTCATATGTATTTGCAAACGACTCTTTGTAATACATCTATATTCACAGATATTACACGAAACAGGTTTTTCACCGGTGTGTATTTGCATAATATGTATTTGCAAACGACTCTTTGTAATACATCTATATTCACATATATTACACGAAAAAGGTCTTTCACCGGTGTGTATTTTCATATGTGCTCGCAAAGTACTTTTTAAAATACATCTATATTCACAGATATTACACGAAAAAGGTTTTTCTCCAGTATGTATTTTCATATGTGTTTGCAAGTCAATTTTTCTAATACTTCTATATTCACAGATATTACACGAAAAAGGTTTTTCACCGGTGTGTGTTTTTAAATGTCTTTGCAAATGACCTTTTCTAATACATCTATATTCACAGATATTACACGAAAAAGGTTTTTCACCGGTGTGTATTTTCATATGTCTTTCCATATCTCTTTTTGTAATACATTTATATTCACAATTATTACAACAGTACATTTGTTTAGCGACGTGCGCTTTAAGATGTGCCAAAATGTAACGTTTTTGAGATGTTTTAAATTCGCAAATATCACAATTAAATATTTCTGTTAGCTGTGGCACTGGAGTTAGTTCTATTTGTGTCCGAACTGCAGTGGTGTCTGAGTTGTTTTGCGTCTTATGACTGTATGAAATGTGTTTGGCGAGAATGTCTTTTGTTGAAAATTTTTTACTACAATCATTACATTCAAAAATGTATTTAGTTGATGTCCCAGATGTTTTTTTCTTAAGTATATTTACACTCTTTTGTTTCAAAATTTTCGTTTTCATAATCTTTGCAGGATGCTTTCCTTTTTTATTAATTGCTTGATTATCTTTTTTCATTTTAGGGTTTGATTTAATAGTAGGGCCTTCAAAATCGAGGTTTTCTTCACGAACATCGTTTATGTTACAATCAGTAGAATTTGATTTAATCTTCTTCTCAGAAGTTTCTGAAAAATTATTTGTCGAAGTTAAACTTTTTATTTATTGTAAGTTATTGCATCTTTATTGCAAGACACCTTAAACGGTTTACAATGGGCGAAGTTTATGCCTTATGGCATTTTCTATCAGTTAACCCAGGGAGAAAATAAATAACGAAATTATAGTATTTTACAAAAATAATACTAAATATTGTTGCCAGATATAAAGTATTTTAGTCAATTACTCCGAATAATGTCTCTCATATTCATATAAGAGAATTCATCATCACATTTTATCCCGTGGGTTTCGTAAGAGGCGACTATGGGTTTGCCAGAAAAATCTGATGGCTTCCGACAGATGGCGGTATAACCACCTCGTTTACTTCAGATGTAAAATATCCAGACCGGCGCCAGGCGACATTGCCAGAGGTGCTCACGTCTGGTTCTGCGATCGTCAGTACTTTGCCAAGCGTGACTCTCAAGGCAAATCCTTCCTGCGTAGGGAAAGATCCTTCCATGTTCAGCAGTGGAAGTTTACGGGAATATTAAGATAGAGGAATTATTTGCAGGCCATACAAAGATTCAAAACTAGGCCTGGTAGCTCGGGGGCTAGGAGATTGCCGTAAAATTTCTTAGTGCGCTAGCAACCCAGGTCCTTTCTCCACTGGCACCCATATGTATGTATGTATGTATAATAATAATAATAGTTTCTTTATTTGCTTAAAACATGGTATTTGTAGGTGGTACAGTAAAATAAGTACACATGTTTTGCTTATAATTAGCATGCAAATTTAAGTTTATGTTATATACATTTAAAGTTACATTTATTTTCAAAAAAGGGTCAAATACATTCATAAAATTAATATTAACAAATCAATAATTATTAAAGCCTAAGGTCAATAAATTCTTTAATGTCGTACACTTTTAGTTCAATAAGCCACCTATATAGTCTCGATTTAAATAAATTCATTTTAAGGTTTTTAATGTCATTGGGGATCTTATTATATATCTTAACACACATTGCTACACAACTTTTTCTGAATTTAGCAGATCTCGGAATGACGCTTAACACTAATCTATCCGGATTTCTTTTCAATCTAGAGTTTATATCTCTGGCTTTCTGGAAGAGCTCAGTATGACTTTTGACAAAGCAACTCATTTCAAAAATGTATAGTGCTGTCAACGGAAGTAAGCCCAGGCTCCAAAAAGATGCTCTACAGGACTCGCCCGGTGGAATCCCACATATGGCTCTGATGCATTTTTTTTGCGCTACAAATGCCCTTTGTCTCTCAGTACTATTACCCCATATCATCACCCCATAACGTAGGCTACATACGCGTGATAAGTGGTAATAGCTGTTTGCAAGTTAGTTACGCTCCTTGTTTTATAAAGAGCATAAACAAAGCTGTTGATACGCTTGCATAAGGTCTCAATATGTAATTTCCAGTTTAGATCCTGGTCTATCGTTACACCTAAAAATTTGGTATGTGTAATTTCTTTAATCTTTTCGATATTGAGGTTAAAATTGTGTTTATCATGTTTGGGTTTATTAAAATGTATGAAATTTGATTTATTTAAATTTAATTTTAGATTATTTTCCTCTAGCCATTTAATAATGTTGTCAATAGTATTATTAATTTCAATTTCATGGTCATGTATTGAATTATATTTATTTTTATCTGATGTCACAATTATTGATATGTCATCTGCAAACAAGATACATTTATGACCAGTCACTTTGGTTATGTCATTTATGTATAATATAAACATAAGTGGACCTAGCACACTTCCCTGAGGGATACCACACGTGTTATTTTTTAGGGTAGAAGAACATGTTATCAGTTCGCTATTTATGATTTTATTAACAGTGACGCACTGACACCGATTCCTCAAGTAGGATGATAGCCACTGTAGTGTAGGTCCTCTTATTCCAAACGTTTCAATTTTATTTAATAAGAGTTCGTGGTCTACAAAATCAAACGCCTTGGACAAGTCAAAAAATAGACCTGTTGTTAGGTAACCTTTATTTATACATACATCCATACACGCCGTTTCCGTGCTATCGATCCTGACAGCTTCGACGGAAACCGTATTGAAGGTCACTAATCAGCTTATGCTCTTCAAGGTACCGCGTGACGCGTGAGCTGGCAGTTCATAATGGATTCCATTATTTTGGAGAACTAGAAGGTGATGGTGATAGGCCTGTATTTGGATAGGTTCCAGCCTTTTTTAGGAATCGAATGCACTAAGGCTGTCTTTCATAAGGTTGGAACGACACCTAAGGAGTAAGAGAACATGACATAAACATAAAAGTAACATGAACATAACACAACAACTGCATTATAACTTTGTAATCTATACTAATATAATAAAGTGGAAGGGTTTTTTGTTTTTTGTTTGTTTAAACACGCCAATCTCTTGAACTATCAGTCCGATTTGAAAAAATGATTTTCTATATTATAGCCAGATTCATGAGGAGGAGGAATAGTATAGCATTAGGCTACACCTCTCAGTTAGATATTGATTTTTGCTAACGCGTCAAGCGCTAGGCCATTTTATTTTTTACGCGCCAAACGTCAGGGCCTGTACGGAAGGTCTCCAGATACTGGCAGGCACTAATGTAAAAACTTAACAATCGAACCTAGACGCAGAGCAACAATGAAAAGACTTGCATGAAAGTTAAAAAAACCGCTATTCTACATTTATTCCTCTACTACCTGTTCCCCGCGACTTCGCTCGCGTATTAAGGTTTTTATGTTTTTGCGCGGAATCCTAATTCTTTTTCTAAAATAAAAGTAGCCTAAGTTACTCCTTAAGAAATCAGCTATCTGTCAGTGAAAGTCTTGTCAAAATCGGTCCAGCCGTTTCGGAGATTATCCGGAACAAACAGACAGACAGACAAAAATTTTTAAAATTTATTTTAGTTATAAGTACCGTATTTACTTTCATATGCATTTAATATAAAACTGTAATTTTGAGAATACAAACAGACACTTCAATTTTATTTATTTGTATAGATTGGACAACAGATCCAAAAGTGATGATAATAAGTTATTTCCAGTGCACATAAAAATCCGAAAAAGTTTTTTCTTGTTTATGTACCCACTAGATCAGAATTAAAAAAATCATATAAATAGGCTACGATTCCCGAGAAGTACATTCATTTGAATACGAATCATCACAGAGATTAAGGAGGATACACAGATGGCGCTATCTAGCTAACAACAAAGTAAAAAAGCTCCGTGTTTATAATTAATTTAAAAATATTTTGTATTGTATTTCCGAGTTAAATTTATTGTAAAACTGTGAATAGTGATCCAAAAAATCGGTTGTGACGTTATCAAAGACCTCAGTACAATAGTGTTAAAAAAAACAGTGTAAATAAATCAAGACTAAAATTGTACACAAACTGGAACAATAGCTTAAAAAAGTGTTAATTGCAGTAATAATACATATAAACAAATAACCTACTCGCTAAACAATATGTAAAATGACTTTAAAACATAAAAACTGAATAAAAAACTTCGACACAAAGTGCACATCAAGTGAAAAAAATTCCTAAATGATTAGTCATATCAACGGCTTTGCAAAATTCAAATCTCTCATACATTGACTTATGATAGACATTTTCAACAATATCCATTGGGTATTGATGGCCCAATGCATAAGACAGCTACGTGTATGTAGCTGCGGAATCGAGTGGTCGTGGTTTCGTACCCACGAAGCACCAGTATGTATTTTTGAAGATTTTACGAAGAAAGTTAAACTCTTGTGGCGGCGCTGTCGTCGCGCCACAAGCGAAACACATCGAAGCCTAAATCGCGCTATCAAAGTTCCGAAATTAAAGCAATATATATAGAATAGCTCCGAACTACCAATCGGAGCGTTGGCCGCTCCCCGGGCAGAACACCTTGCCCGGCGGGAGATCTCCCCTTTTCATTCCACCCGCCACAGTGGTGACCCCGACGTAATATGAACACGCAACCAACAACCTTCGGAAACTACAACTTCAAATCTTCGTCATCATCCCCAAGTACCCCATTCATTCGCTCCCGAGCAGATATTGTCTGCAGTCTTCACATTCTTCAAGCCATCTAGCTTTACATAAAAGGTTCATCGCAGCACTGGAATAATAATGCTTCCTGTTCCTTCAAGCTACTCTCTGCGCTACAGTGTTCGGCACGGCTCTGAGCCTTACTGCTCGCCTCTGCTTCACGGCACTCTCGCAGATCACTTGCCTTCTTCTCGACTCACCGCAGACTACAAGGCAATCCCTGGCACTTGCTCCGGCTCATCGTTCTCACCGGCATCACTTGCAAGTGCGTAGTACGGCATGCATTACACACCGGCATATCATTCGCACCGGCGTCACTTGCCCTTACGCACACAGCATGCATTCCCCACCGGCATTTAAGGACGCACCGGCAATCGAACTGCACTATCGACCTCCGGTCTGAGCAGGGGAGTGATGTGGCGGCGCTGTCGTCGCGCCACAAGCGAAACACATCGAAGCCTAAATCGCGCTATCAAAGTTCCGAAATTAAAGCAATATATATAGAATAGCTCCGAACTACCAATCGGAGCGTTGGCCGCTCCCCGGGCAGAACACCTTGCCCGGCGGGAGATCTCCCCTTTTCATTCCACCCGCCACACTCTGAGTTACATGTTAAGCATTTAATAAGAGAGGGCGCCACTTCCATAAGCAAACGAAATAATTTAGAAAAATAAAAATATGGATTCAGATTCATTCGATAATGTCACATATAGGAAACGACAAACTATTTCGACTGATGAGCATGAGAAACCAATACTCGACACCACTATGATGAGCTTGCCAGATAGCCTACATAACAATAGCAATAATGACATAATTAATAGTTTAAATGAAGAAATAAAAATACTTAAGATGCAACTAATGAGTGCGCATCAAGAAATAGAAAATTTGAATTGTGAAAACTTTCGATTGTAATCAGATCTACAAAAATCGTTAAAAACTGTTGAAACTAATAAAAATATCTGCGTAACCCCTG